AAATTGGTGATTGAAACACGTGTCGATGTGTTGAAAATAACGGTTTGTTGTTGGGACTAAACTTTAGTAATATTCAAGTTTTTTAGGGTGTCATAATAAAGGTTTATACAAGTACATAGCTGACTATCTCTAATTCCGAGATACTTGTTCTATTTTGACTAATATGACCGGATTAATTGTTTTTGTTGAACGTTTCTTATTACTACACGATTTATATTAGCTTCACCTGTATGTATGTATGTTTGACCCTATGAAAAAAAATTCAATGTGACAATTGAGCATTCAGTGTGAAATGAAATAGTAAAATTAAAATACTTATGAGGTGAATGTCAAATGGACATCTGGACTAAAAGTACAGAAGGCAGAGATATGCATAGGAAAGAAAGCTTTTATCGGAAAGTCTTACCTCAAACCGTTTATAAAGTCTCGTAGAGCAGGAAAACGTGCTATGATTTTCAAGACCAAGATTTGAGTCATAGGTTCTGAATCGAAAGCTGGAAAATCGTTGAGAATCAACTGGACTTTAGGTTATCAGTTTCATGAATTTCCAGTATTTGTTGTGAACAACTGCTTGAGTTGTAAACAACTGTTTAAATTGACAGTAACCAATCCAGGTAGATAGAACCAGGATAAAAACCAGTCTCTCCTATTGAAAATTTCCTGTCTGCCGTAAGATTGAATATACGGTCATTCAGTTAGGCAATATTCATCAGTTGTGTCGAAACAGGATTTATCAAAATACCATTCACCTCAATTTAGTCACAACAATCGAACGCCAAAATATAACATTGGTCGAAATTTGGACTTGGAAAATATTCGTGCTGCAGACAGTAGTTTTTTTAATGAAAATTTCACAGTCGTACTTTCTAACTGATAAGAGACTACAATTTGCTGCCGTTGTTGTCGTCACAAGTCAAAATATGTTAGGTAATTAGGTATACCCACGTGTAAATTTACAGAAAATTGGGATATAATTTGAGGGATCAAAACAACACTACTATTATTAGCCCGATCTGTTGATAGACAACCCCGGTTTATATTGTGTGGCTACTTTATAATATGCATCTCCCTTTCTGACATGCTTTGTTTTGCAGCACCATTCCTCCATGATACATTAAATTCAATCCCTTTACCCTGTTTGTTCGTTTTACAAGACCAAAAGAATAGAGAATGTGCCTTCTAGTTATTGTAAAATCAAAATTAGATGCCAGCGCCATGGTGGCAAAACTGCAAAACACAGTTGTCTACATTGGATCAAGGTTATGCGTTCAATTGTACCTATCTGTGAGTAAAGTGAGTAAACCAGTGTATTTAGAGCCTCTGTTTTGACTATTTGTATTCAGTTAGAATTTTTGAAACTTGGTTTTCGATGTTTCGTTGCCAATCAATTGATTGAGTTATAGGTGAGTAAGGTATTGCTGATTTATGTAATGAAAAACGTGTTTCTTGAAGGTTCCTCAGTCATATAATATAGCTGAAAATTTTCCTAATTTTCACCATATTTATTCAGGACTTTCGTTCTACATACTCTCTCAATCCTAAATTACTTTCCACCACAGCTGTAAGTTGACTTTTTCGCAAAAAATAATGACAATTGATGTCACATCATCGAGATCTTTTTACTCCCAAGCCACATTGCGAAACGCATAGAATTGATAGTTTGACTCTGAATCGCTTCTATTTAAATCGAGAAAAAGTGATGATCGATAAAAACTTCACCAATTCACTAGATAAATGTATATAACAGCGACAGCAATAAACACTCATTAATGACCACTAAGGTATACAATGTATTTATCTCTAGTTCACAACATCGACACCAGGGAGAGTATCGCTCATTTTAAGTTTCCTACGAGTTCTGTAGTTAAGTTCCAACTCGTGATTCACCAGCTTTATAACTTTGTTCAAGAGGCTCAATCCCACCTATAACTATTTTTTTTCACTACTATAGACTCGATCAAGATGTATCGATTACTCGACAACTACCGAATGACATATACCTGTTTTATTTCACTTACAAGTTATAAATTATAATTCTAGTTATCGGAAATGGATTCCCAAAAAACCTCAGTTTTTCAATTCAAAAAGCTAATAAATATTTGAGAATCAATTTCATCTGAATCTTTCAGTATTCTATTACAGTCCGCTCGCTGAACAGATGTAATTCTTTGTGTCTCTACAAAATCAACTTCCAGTTGGAATACACAAAAATTTACTAGCCAACAAATAAGAAACAAATTGCGACTGATACATGAGATACATGAGAGTTTAAAGCATCCTGACTGGGACTTCAATATCAAAAATTTTGAGTTATAGTTATTTTTATTTTATACAAAAAATTTCACATATTATAGGGAAATATAAAACAATAAAAAACAATATATTTTGAGGAAAACAGACTTCATTTACAATACACATGAAAAAACATTCAAATGAAGTCTTTTGTGCATAACCTTTTTGCAACTGTTGACTTTCGTTTAAATGTTTCATCGTTTTCCCTCATAAGGAAACAACAATTATCCCCCATCATTGCTGCATCCCATCTGACTTGGTAACGTTGCTCCATTGTCAGTATGTCTTAGTGGAACCTTTTCCCTTGTTCGTCACTGACAGCACCCAAATTTTGTGGGAAAAAATTCAAATGGGAGTGCAAGAAATGGATTTTGAGAGACATGCGACATTCCATTCTGCAGTAGTTTTCAAGTAGTTCTTCTACAAGTGTTTCATAATCAACTCATTGAATATCTAGAAAATAATGACATTTTACTAAAATATCAGTCAGGTTTCAGAAAACACTATTTATGTGAGTCTGCATTATAAGTCACAATATCAAAATGGAAAGAATCAATAGATAAGGGTCATTATATTATAGCCGTATTTTTAGATCTTAAAAGAGCTTTTGAGACCATTGATCGCCACATATTACTAAATAAACTGCAAAGTATTGGTATCAGGAAAACTATTTTGTTATGACTGACTGATTATTTATCACAACGCAAACAGGTAACCAAAATAGAGGATTCAGTGTCATCATCTCGCGATGTCATTTTCGGGGTACCTCAGGGGAGTATTTCGGGACCTATATTATTATTATTCTACCTAAATGATATAGATACCATCCATGGTTGTGATTTCATGAACCTTTTTGCAGACGACACATCATTATCAATTTCAGGAGATAATATAGAAACAGTAGCTGCTCAAATGAATAATGAACTAAGAAATGTTTTCAAGTACATGAATCGCAATAAACTAATTAGTATTTTAGAAATTGAACAAAATTCCTACAAACGTACAAGAGGTTATTCTTCACGTTAGCTTGACCTGGAATATTTGTCTCTCGGAGGCCATTCTTTTACTTGATAATGGCTCTGTGTTGCCCAACTGTACCAAAGACAAAGAAAACAGCAAAACTTCGTAAATCCGCCCTGAGGACCTAGTAATAGTCCTATGACTTTTAGGTCCCCACATATTTACCACTTATACGTGGTATAACTCATTGCATTTAGAATAAATGACATACTTTCGTGTGTTTCCTTCATGGTTACTGGATGTGCAAGAGGAATAGAGGGTCTTATGTTACCATCATGGAGCAGAACGGCTTTTAAACTTGTTTTAGACGAATCTATAAATAAACGTCATTCGTCCGGGTTATGTGAAAATTCTACACCATTTGGATTTACACAAACATACATTTTATCCTGCATAGTAAAAAACGAGGATAGCTCATGGTTACGGTTCCTAAATATTGTAACTTTGGTTTAAGGGGCTAGTAAATTCCATTGTTGTAATCTGGATCCTACTAGTTCAGCATTCTCTTTGGACAAGTGGAAGAAAAAGAGGAAAAGCAAATTTGGAATGTCGTGTTCATTAAATTTTTGTGAAAAAAAATTATAACTCGAAAATTTTGCGTGTTAGGAAATTTTTACTATCATTTTCGCATTTAGGGACCAAAAATTAACAACGAAGTCCCTTTGGCATTACAGTCGTAAATAGTGTTATTGCAAATTCATGCGTTAATTAATTTTTGAGCAACAATACTGGAGGTTGAACAAATCACGTGGATAATACGCAGTTTTAGAACTCTATATGTTTGGTAAAAAGACTACATACTAGTAAAGGCAATTTTCAACCTGGTTTTTTTATTCCCAAAGTAAATATATAACTGACCGATACTTCATGTAACGTATTAAAAAAAACACTCTAATGTGAGATGTCTATTTAATAGTGGATATCAAGTGAAAATTCAAGTGGAATTGTCACATTAAAGTGTATTTTTTGAATACGATAATTTCCAAAGTGTTTTTCTTTACTCCTAGGATGTAACTACCAGTCTTAGGTATCAATTGCAATATGTTTGACATACCTGTACATTTTATTTTTTTCTTTTTGAAATATAGGCAGAAATAAATTATCATTATCAAACACTTCTGTGATACATCATCTGCGATTATCCTGCCACGCGTTTTTCAATTGATACGTTCTGCTAGATTAACATTAAGCTGGCTGAACCATGTGAAAATCTTAGACTCTATTGAAAACATAAGCTGTTTTTTTTGCGTTTTCATTGTCTACAAAGTCTACATATTGATTGTGTATTATAATGTATAATTCTCCTATTGAGTGCTATAGTTAATTTTGAACTTTGTTCAGAAAATATTAATTTTTCAACTCGGACAACAGTTTTTTTATTATTTCCTTTTATCAATCGAAAATATACAGCATGATCAGTTTCTGCTTTTCTGTTAACCAGCTGACTCCCCTCATGAACGACAACTCTCGGAAGCCGAAACTCGTGCGAGGTAAAGATTAACGAGGTCTTATTTTCGTAGAGCAATTCCTGGCAAGGGTTGGATTATCTGCAGTGAACATCAATCATTGGCCATTGGGCTGGAACCACCGTTCACAAAGCTGTCGATTTAATGAATAGAACGAACCACTCACGCAACAGTACCGTTTAATGTTTCTATATGTCCACTGAAATTCGTCTTTTGTTTCAGATGACTCATCCCGCCTTCAAAACTACATGTCACTGAAAATAACCTTCAACCCGACGAGGCTGATCAATAAACTCAGACTGATAATACAAAAAGCAACAATGGAGGACAGCCAACAACGTGAGATGAGCAACGAGTACACAGAAGTATACCGCCGAGTACCCCTTAGAATACAGCTTGCCTACAGCATAGGACACGTACTAAACGACGTGTGCGCCTCCATGTGGTTCACATACCTCCTAGTATTCTTTCACCTAGTCTTAGAATTCAACAATTGGGAGACGGGATTCATGCTCCTGGTGGGTCAAGTAGCTGATGCCCTAGCAACGCCGTTTGTAGGCTACCACTCTGACCAGACAGACAACTTCTCGTTCTGCACCTACGGCAAAAGAAAAATCTGGCATCTCTTCGGCACAGTATGCGTCTTGCTCTCGTTTCCTTTTATATTCTCCCCTTGCATAGACTGCTCCCAAAGCCACGATTGGGCTCAGATGTTCTACTACTCCATGTTTATAATAATCTTCCAGATCGGCTGGGCTGCCGTGCAAATCTCTCACTTGTCTCTCATACCGGAGTTGACACCCAACGAGCATGATCGCACAAGGCTAACAGCGATGCGGTACTCCTTTACGGTGGTGTCCAACGTACTGGTTTACGTAGTTACCTGGGTGGTGCTGCACATGAACAACGGTGAAAGTTCAAAGATCGGTCCAGGCGATGGCCCCAAGTTCCAACACGTAGTTTGGTCTGTGTTATCCTTCGGAAGCCTGTGCTCGGTGCTTTTCCATCTGTTCATCAAAGAGCACGAGAACGGAGTCGGAAACAACGTGAGAGGCGGGCAGCTGAGAACCAGCGTGGGGGACTTGCTACGAGATCTTCAGGTTTACCAGATAGCTGTCGTTTACATGTCGTCGCGATTATTCGTCAACTTGACGCAAGTTTTCGTTCCCCTGTACCTACACGAGACTCTTGACATGGCGGCGAGTTCTCTGGCTCTAGTGCCGTTGATAATGTTCATCGGCAGCTTTTTCACCTCTCTGATCATAGAACGAGTTAACCGATGTCTCGGTAGGAAACTGACCTACTTCTTGGGTGCGCTCTTAGGAGTGGTAGCTTGTATCTGGATCAAATTTGGCCAGGGAAGTTACTACGTCGATTACTACATTTATGTCGTAGCCTTACTGATAGGCTCCGCCGGGTCTATCGTTCTGGTTACCAGTCTGGGTGTGACTACGGATTTCATAGGTGAGAAGACGAACAGTGGAGCATTCGTGTATGGTATAATGAGTTTCACGGACAAGTTGGCCAACGGTATAGCAGTCGTCATTATCCAATATTTACATAAAGACGTCACGAACATTACATACTATAGGGATGTTTTGACGAATGTTTGTGGGGTGTCCGTAGCTGTGGGGGCCTTGGCTGTGATAGGATTCTCATGCAGAAGAAGAAGAAGAAGATATACTCTAGTGTCCAATACGGTCACTGGTTATAACTCTATAAATACTTAAATTAATGAATAGGAGCATACCCGTTTATGCAGGGTAGAATGTGATATCATTTTATATATAAATTTTTATGTAATTTTCTCTGGGCACATGACATTGAAATCAAATACACAGATAGATAAGATTTTGAGATTATACCAAAAACTATACATTTTATGTTGTGAAGTTTTGTAACGTTGATTTGATAATGAAATGTCATAAAATTCGTGATGCTCGGAATTCTTCTGCTGAATATGGTTATGTCTTTTTCAATTGATGTGAAGAAATACCGAATTTAAGCAATTCTTCTTTCACTAGATATTTTTGTCGTTTTCTCTATTTATCTAATTGAAGGTGCATAGATTCCACTACATAATAGTTGTCGTAGGCTACTGTGATATAGGCTACTCAGAGCACATGGCTGGCGACCTTGATAGTCACTGCCTCAGGCGTTAAAATAAAAAACTAGCCCTGTTTGGAAATAATAACTGGTTGAAAAAAATCAAAAGAGATGACAGACAAAACTAATGCTTTTCAAAAATGCAAATTGTATAATATTCACACAACTTGAAAGTGAAACTTTTTATTGAAGAATAACTTTTTCCATCATTTAAGTTTTTAGTTGTGCACCTTATTAAAATCATTCGAATTAATATGTAACACACATTTTTCTATGACTATACACAACCAATATGATTATTGTTTACACATAAACTGAAGATTACTTTCACCTAACTGTGAACAAGGTCTTTATCTTGTCTCTTTCTCAAGTTCCCTTGATCTAAATAGAGTTTTTTTAATTTTTGAAATTTCTTTGTTTTGATTGAAAGTGGTTGACAATGTTTCACGGTGAATTTCACTAGTTCGTACTTCTATTGTCTAATATGATGTCTAAAACGTGAATTGAAAATACAATAACATAATCAAGATAAGTTACCTCACGACGTTTCGATTTTTGGTATCCACAATCATCTTCGGGTGATGACAGTCATCACCCTAAGACGATTATGGATACTAACAATCGAAACGTCTTGAGGTAACTTGGTTTGAAATCTGTTTTATTTTTATTTTTTGGCCATTTTTAATTCTATTCTACTTTATTACTTTATTTATTTCTATTTGGTCTGTGGTCATTTTCATCTTTTATCTTAACTATTTAATTTTTTTATTGTATTTTCGTTTCACGTTCTATTGCTTAATACTTCAGCTATTCATTATAATTTTATTTGTTCGTTCATAGATTTCGAATCAAATTGAATTACACAATGGAAGTCTGAACTACTACAATATTTTTTTTGACAATATATTTCTGGTAATACAATATATCCCGAAATTTGTTATAATTATTTTTTGTATATAATTGATATATCAAACAGGAATATTTAATATTAATAGAATTTTTTGTATAAATTTTGAAGTTTATTCGGTAGATGTTTACTTTGTTGATATATTATACACTTTTATTTATTTATGTACAGTCATATGTATTTCAATAAATTCAAATTTTGTAGTATTAATTTTTTGCTAAGACCTCTTTTCAGACTCTCTATTGCCCCAAATAATATTTGGGTTTCGAAACCAGACGAATGACAAAATTGTTGATATAAATATGAAAAATATTTTTTCATTATAAGTATTCTTTTTTTGAGATCAGTGAATTTACTCCAATGTTTTTATAGCTCAAATTTGTCCAACAAAATATTTGTCAAAAACAGCTTTTTGAAGTTTTTGGACTCCTGAAAACTCTGATGAAAGTGACTTATATGGTTTATGAACTGAATGGATCATTTCAAATTAGATTCCAATATGTTTATTCTAGGGAGAATGTAATATTGTTACAAACTCGACATACTATCCACTTCTTGCATTGCAGCCTTATGGGCTTGTTGCGATTCTTCTTTCATTTTTTCATGACACCTATTACAATTGTCTTGTTACACCATATAGAATGACCTTTCAAAAAAAACATGGCTTACCGAACAAATCCATCATAACCAACGCTCTCATGGGAAATCTTCCGGCCACTGGGGCGAACCCTCCTTCATTTTTCATCTCATCGGTAGATTACGCTGGATCGACAAGGTCGCGGTTGTAAGATAGGCAAGGCCTACGCTAGCGTTTTCGTCTGCTTCACCACTCGCGCAGTTCATATAGAGTTAGTGCCTGACGTTAGGTCAGGCTGCGATAAATGAATCTTCAGTTATGAAGATTCATTTATCGCAGCCTTTAGGCGTTTCATAGCAAGGCGAGGAAAACCGTCTCGAATGTATTCTGATAACGGAACCAACTTTGTCGGAGCTTCATGATCTCGGCGTTTTCCTCAAAACCAATTCGAAAAACATAGCCGAAACAGTAGAAAATGAAGGCATTTCATGGTCCTTCATTCCAGCGGCTTCTCCGCACTTTGGTGGTCTCTGGGAGGCTAGTATGAAATCGATGAAACACCATTTGATACGCGTAGAGGGAAATGCATTACTCACCTTCGAGCAGTGCTACACACTGCTAGTGCAAATCGAAGCAATCCTCAACTCGAGACCCATGCACCAACTATCTTCTGACCTATCAGACCTCAATCCCCTCACGCCCTCTCACTTTATCATCGGCCGTCCCATTGTCTCCATCGCAGACACTAATCTGCTAGCAGTTCCTGGCAACCGGTTGAAATACTAATTCAGCAGATCCAACAGCATTTCTGGCGGAGTATGTATGCGAGCTCCAAGTGCATACCAAGTGGAGAATCAACCAAGAGGCACTAAGGAAGGACAACCTGGTCGTAATCAAGGATAACGACCTCCCTCCATTCAAGTGGGCCCTCGGACGATTCGTCTCAGTATATCCTGGAAGAGATGGTATTTGTAGAGTGGCCACGATCCGGACCAAGACAGGCATCTCACGACGAGCCTTCTCCAAAATCTGTGTTCTTCCCAAAGCAGATAGTTTTTCATTGAAAGAAGGTGGTTCTTTCAAGGCGGAGGCTATGTCGAATATTGGCAACACCGAAGAACCGGGTGCTAAACACCCAGCGTCTATCCCTCCATGCATCGCTACCTGCTAAAGGGTCTCTCTGTCATCTCAACATTCCAAGACAAAGACACTTGCAATAGACACTCTTTACAGTGAACACATTTCGTATTTTACATTTTGTTATTTTTCGCAATAAAGCGTTAGTAGTGAATGTGGTGCCATTTTATTCAAATACAGTCCACAAAAACTCAAAACCACATATAACACAACACAAAAATTCATTAAAAACTGTTAAGACCAAACTTCAGTGTCGGGTAGACCAGGAGTTTATAAGTTGACTTGTGATTCCTGTCCAAAACTTTGTATTGGCCAAACGAGGTGAACCTTTTTCTGAAGAATAAAAGAACATAGGAGTAGATTCTTGAATATGAAAACCTATTTATAAACCATCTTTTGGTAGTGGGGCATGGTTTCAATCCCTACTGCGGCCGTTTTTGCTTGATTTCTTCACTCAAACGTTGCAAAAAGTTCGCATAATACTCGGACGGTAGCCGGTCGGTTCGACGTGGGTGCTTTGTTCACTCACTCCAATCGACCGCCGTGTTGGTCGCTGGTTCAATCCCCAGGCTGAACGATCGATTTTCACTTGCTATCGTCCAACCCGTGTTAGGAATCACACGTTAAAAGGTAAGACCTTGTTAGTCCTCAACTCGCACAAGTTTCGATTCGACTGCTGAGGGTTGTCGTACGTAGGGATGTGACAGCCGGTTAACGGAAAACAGATTTTAAACAGATTGATAGTTTTGCCTCTTTTAAGATAATCACTATAAATTATCCCATGCGCATCTCAAAAAACCGATGTCATGACCTTGCCTGAAATGGAGCCGGTTCTCCTTTTTGAGTCCGCTGTTCTGATTGTTATTTTGTCTCGGGTGTAAAGTGATGGACCCATGTTTCATCCATGGATATGAAACGACGCAAGAATTCTGCTTCGTTGCTATGAAATTTTGCTTAAACAGTCAATTGAAACATCTTCACGACATTGTTATTGCTCGAGTGTGAGCAAACGTGGCACTCATCTTGCACACAGCGTCTCATGTCCAAATTTTCAGATAATACACGATATACCGCACTTTTTGAAATGCCTACTAAGTCTTCAGTCGATCATTCAGTACCGCTTTGTGGATTTTCTTCACCATCGTCACCTCACTTGGTCGACCATTGCGATGCTCCTCTTGGCAGCTCGTACGGCCTTGCTTAAACTCTGCTATCCAATATTTCACTGTTGTAAATATCGGAGCAGACTCACCAAGAGTCCCTCCCCTTGCTTCCCCCCGAGTTGAGTGCACTGAGTTGAAATTTTTCCCACACGGTTACTGTGTGCAGAACATCCCATCGCGTCCAACCACCCCCGCTCCTCCGGAGCGGTCTCCAACTTACTGATGGGCACTTCAGCAAGATTGACATCTGACCTTCTTTGATCAAAAGTCAGCCTCTAGGTGCTTTTACTTTCAGATCTATTGTATTGTTTTGTCTGGACTTTACTAACTGAATTTTTGCATGGGGTCCCCAAAAACTAACCGGAGACGAGTGTATTTATGTCGCGACCAAGTGTTGTTTCCCAGTGAATCTGAAAATGAAGTGAATTTGAAATCTGGTCAAGGAGTTTTTATGTCTGTTGCTGCAAGTATCTAGTGACGTGCGCTTGGCTTGTTGATCTCGACAGCAGAGCTGTGTCGTCCTCGTAGAGTGCCAACTTGTTGAAGTTGGTCTCTGGCTTGGGCACGTCTGCTCGGTATACCGAGAAAAGGTGTAGCGAAAGGACTGCACCGTGTGGAACCCTTGCTTACAGTAATCGCATGGTTGAGAGTTCTCGTCCTACTCTGCTGCAGCATCGCCTGTCAGTTAGAGAAGACTCGATTAATCTTACCATTTGTTTCGTGTAGCCAAATTTGAACATTTTGGCCAGAAGCCCGTCATGCCAAACTCTGTCGAACGCCTTGGAGATGTCTAAGAAAATCGCTTTGGTGTTGTATCCTTTGCAGAGGTTGAAGCCTTCCGTCGCAAAGTATACCACCCTCAGGACTTGCAACTCTGTCGAGTGTTCTGATCGGTCCTCTACTCTTTTCTGGATGACATGTTCTGCCACTTTGCTTAAGGAAGGGGTTAAGCAGATTGGCATGTGGTTATCTGGGAATAGATACTCACCCAGA